CCTACCACAGTCATTTATCACCTGACTCCTGAAAAACAAAAACTGAATTCAATTCTATTAGCACTAACATTGGCAATATGTGCTGAGTGGGTGAGTTTATGCTGTTGGATTGAATTTCTTGCAGGAGTCGTAGTCTACCAGTCATTAACACTGCCACACCCACAATGTGGGTAAGCTGGACAACTTTTTTGTCTGCAACAAAAAGTGTGAAGGCAGGCTGATAATTTCACAACATATACACACAGTCACAGCACAGGCTGGTGTGCGCAGAGCAGGAAACAATTTCACTTCAAAATAAAACTTCAATGTGGAACATGTTCAGTTCTCTGACAAAACTGACAAAAATCTTCAGTCTGGAGCAGCTCAGCAGATATATTCTTATTGCCAAAAGTTGGTAAGCTCAGTCCTTGACTGAGAAACCATCACCAAACCAGACCACCCATCCTATCTAAACCACATCTGCAGCACTGTGTCCTGTTCAGGGCTCCTCGGTACAAGAAAGACATGGATTTATATGAGTGAGTCCAGTGAAAGGCTGCAGAGATGATTAATGAGCTGGAGCCTTTCCCATGTGAGAAGAGGCTGAGATAGCTGGGACTGTTCAGCCTGGAGATAAGAAAGCTCAGGGGGGATCTGATCCATGAATATAAATAGCTGATGGGAGGGGGTGAAGAAGGTTAGTTCAGACTCTTTTCAGTGGCGCCAAGTGACAGGATGAGAGGCAACGGGCACAAACCAAAACACAGGAAATTCCACTGGAACGTAAAAAGACATGTCTTCACTGAGAGGGTGGTTGAGCACTAGAACAAGTTGCCCAGAGAAGTTGTGGAGTATCTGTGTGTGGAGATGTTGAAAACCCAACTGGACCCGGGCCTGGGCATCCTGCTGTAGATGACCCTGCTTGAGCAGCAGGATGGGACCAAATGATCTCCAGAGGTGCCATCCAACCCCAACAGTTCGTGGTTCTGTGATTCTGTAAGTGTAAGTCCTGGAAATCACGGGCCTGATTTCCAGAGGGAATATTTTAAAAGCTTTCCAAGCCAAGAAGGAGAGAGAAGGATAATGAGATTTTTACCTTTTGGATATAGGTACTTCAAAAGGAACAGCAAAAAAGCAGACCTTCTTGTGGGTAGGGCTATGCTGCTAAGAGGGACAGGTCTATCTTCTACCTAATGTAAACAACAGAGGTTTTTCTGCTGCTGCTGACTAGGCAGAGTTGCCTTGTTCTTTTGCTGAATTGAAAACAAAAGACTGATCTCACAGCAGGCAGGCTTTATCTGATACCATACTACCTCGGGGATCTCATTCTCCTGCTCCTAGAGTTCATCATGTAACCTGTGATATGAGAATTTAGGCCTGTTCTTTTGTTGTATACGGGAGCCAACTCATGGCAGAAATGCTTTCTTCCTCTTGAGGTTCGGTGCACATTGCTGATTGTGTCAGATGTGGCAGGACAAGTGGTCCCACTAGCGCATTTTGGTTTCTCTACTCTAAAACTGCTGGAAGCAGATGGGACACTAGCTTATCCTTGACTGGAGACTAAATACTTCTTAAGCTATAACTGGTTGCAGAACTATAAAATACTATGGGATGGATCCAAAGTTTAAGAACATCAATATAAGGTGCCAAAATGACTCAGAGCCTATATGTGCTTGTCCCTTCTTTGTGTGAGTTAAGCTAGCAATTAAGTTACAGCAAAAAAGAAAAAAAGAAAGATACAGGTGCTGACATTCATATGCAAAGAAAACATTCTGTAATAGTCTAACAGTGCACTCATCTGCATTCAGTTCTGCTCTCTATGCAGTCACAAACCAAAAAAGATAAATAATGCAGGTTGTATGTGATGTAGAGGAGTTCATGGTTCTAGCACCAGTTGCTGGTGTCTCATTATCCAACAGCAGTTCTTCCCAGAGATGGCTGTCTTGAGCTGTCGACATGACTGGGTAGGGTGGGCAGAAGTAGTCTGCCAGTTGGCGTAACCAGCATTAATTCCCTTTGATATTGGGGAAAGTAGGCATCTTATGGCCTTCCAGTCCCAGGACTCCCGTGACTTGCCATCAGCCATGGGAGCGCCGGGCAGCGCTGTCGTGCAGGAGCTTAACAGTGAGGTGAGGGTTTGGACATAACTTGAGCTGTGGTAACCATAGGCTGTGGAAAGGCTGGGATGCAGATGAGGGAAAGTGAGTACTAGAAGATCCTACAAGGCTTAAAGGTTTGTGGGACACAGACAAGCACCCCAGTGTGTCCCAGGTGATGTGACCAGCATAGACAGCTGAGGTACCAGAAGTGGGCATACAGCAAAGATTAAAGTTAGGCTAGAGCATTAGTGTTACCACCAAGCACAGCATAGACATAGCCTACACTGCTGTACATAGTGTTGCAGGCTGTCCCACTCTCCCAAGCCAATGGATGTTTAATTGGAGTTTGGGCTGAATAAAAACTGAGTGAAGCTTCTAGATTTTGGGCAAATATTAAATAGCATGCCCTCCCCACCCCATGTGCTTCCTTTTACACATAGAAGAAATACAGATTGAACATTTTAGCAGGCTTTAACAGCCTAGTTTATAACATCGCATTTCCTCAGATACAATAGGTAATTTCACTACGACTCAGACTTTCCTGGTGCAAAGGAAACATTTAATTGCTCACATGTATTTTAATGGTTCTGTTTTTAACTGTCAAACTCATTAATGTCAGAATACTATAAAGACATGCAAAACGATTTTACAAGAAATCATTAGTCATTTAAATGTTCAAAGGCAATTTTCTAAAGCACAAATGGAGGTTTTCAATTTTCTGAAAATCTCAAACTGCACCATTTTATGAGACTGGAGGCACACTATTTTAGTGAGCTCGGCAATAATATCAATTCTATAAAACAAACAGTGAAACCTGATCTGATGACACACAGACATCTTGTCAACTCCCATATTTTTTCCTGTAATAAAGGCTGAAATCATATGTTAATCATATTTACCACGTTATCATCTTTATCTTGTTATCATATTTAAAACGCCTTGTTCAATTATTTTGGACATCTAGATCCCTAAAGCCAAACTGTAACTTCTATGCGAACAAAATAATTTTAAGAATATGATGAGAAACAAATTGAAATTACAGCAAGGCTTCTGCTGTGATTGTAATTCACTTTCTCTCTGACTGTGATCAGCTCTTTGTATGTCAGTGAGGAATGCAAAGGATAGGACCTGCCATTTGCTTGGTTAACAGGCGTAGGGCTGGTGGGGCCAGTTGTTTCTGGTGACAACTGCTTTATCTCACCAAAGATATTAGGAAATCAGTAATCTGGTAATTACAAAAGCAGTGAATGATCATACTGGTGATCCTTTCTCAGGAGTTAGTCTCAAGGTATAACAGCATCACCACCTATTATTAATCCCCTACATTTTCCAGCAGTTGTAGAAGAAGGCAGCCTGGCCTTTCAAGCTACCTCAAGCTACTGAAATAGTTAAATGTGCAACAGATTCAGTCCGCCTGTGCTGGAGGAGGAAGAAAAGCTGGTAGAAGGGCTGAAGAAGTTACACAAGAGGTGGGGAGTCAAGCTGTCTCTTCCTTTCTCAGTCCTGAACTGATTCAATCCTAAATCAAATCACCTTTGTAACTGTTTTCGATTTCCTTTTCTTGGAGGGATTCAGCGAACCCAGTAGCCTAAAGCAAGAGCTTGAAGAGCCAGACCATGAGTCGAGGCTTGTTTATCCCAGCCATTTCCCATAAAGACTTTCAGCACTTTCTGAAATGATTTTCTTGTATTTTCCAGCCAAAGAAGCAAAACTTATCCTAAAGAACATAAAATTCACAAGCAGTACTTGAAATGTTGAGCTTACAACAGGCTACATCTTGGTGACTGAGTTTCACAGGAAAATGTTGTTGTATTGAAATGCAGCTTCTACTCCACATACAGTTTGATGTTACCAGTTTGGATCTTCTTGACTTCAAAGTGGAAGGGAGTACTCAGAAGAGATTCAAGGCATACAGGATAACACGGCATAAACACAGAAGTGACTTTAGAGAGGAGGACAAATCATACTTGAAGAGCAAACAAATACTTCACAGAATCACAGAATCGTTTAGGTTGGATGGGACCTCTGGAGATTATCTAGTCCAACCTCCCTGCTCAAGCAGGGTCACCTAGAGCATATTGCCCAGGATCACATCCAGACGGGTTTTGAATATCTCCAGCGAAGGAGACTCCACTACCTCTCTGGGCAACCTGTTCCAGTGCTCTGTCACTCTCACAGTGAAGAAGTTTTTTCTCAGGTCCAGATGGAACTTGCTGTGGTTCAGTTTCTGCCCATTGCCTCTTGTCCTGTTGCTGGGC